CAGATTGACTAATAATAATATGTTCTTGAATTCTGCTCCATACCAACCCTATGCTGACTACTCTTTTAAGTTTTTTGCATTTATCTTTCTTCCTTAATTGAAAATGGGGATATTTTTCTGGTTCTATTTTTCTGGATTATAACTAATGTTCACATTGTAATTTCTTAAGTAATATATATATATATATATAGGCTCTTTTGGAATTCTACAATTAACTCATCTGATCTTTAAAACAAGAGCTTTTTTTTTTTTTTTAAAGTAGAAATTCTCTAAATCTATCTTGGCAAAAAAAACAACTTCTTGTATCATTTTAATATTCTTGTCCCAATTGAACATAACTGTTCTTGGAGTCAAGTTAAAGCAATCTGGATATTGACTATTTCAATCTTCAGTTCACCTCTGACAGAATATCAATCTCAGCAAATACAAATATAAGTTATTTGACTTGTCTCAGTATCTCTCAAGAGCCTTAATTCTTTCTGAGGCTGATACTTTGCTTAAACTAAACTATTTTCTTGAGTTATATGTTATTCCTGATCATATCATTTTAAAATATCATCAGAGAACTTATGTGTATTTACAATTTTTCATTCTCGTGTGAAAGTTTTTGAATTCTTCTCTTTTTCATAAATTCTAACTATGGAATCTCAATCAACTTTTGTAAGTTCTCTGAAAATCCAATTTACAAAACTAAATAGACTCAATTCTAATAACTCTTGCCATTATAAATACTAAGATGATGTCTCTATTCCTCAAGATTCTTTGTAATTCCACTTAATCAGTGTATTCACCTTTTAATCAAAATTCACCTTCTTACAGCTTCAGAAAATTGAGGTTGTCAACAAAGCAAAATGAAGCAAAAATAATAATGCTCAGTAGATGTCAGAATTATTGGAATCCTTCATTGCCAGCAAGACTTGTTTCTATTAAAGTTTTGTCACTTGTTTCAAAAAACTTTTACTGTGTCTTCCAGAAATACAGTGTTAATTTCATATTCCCAATCTTCAACCGGATTTCTATTTTCACTTTCATGATTTCATGCATAATAACATACAGTATTTATGCGCATTACAGATATGCACAATCTGTAGCCAAGGAACCTATGTGACCTTCTGGGAGCAGTCCTCTTAACTGCTTCAAAAGCTGTTAAGTAATTGCATTGGTGTAATTAATTTCATATAATTTAATATGATTTAAAGGTATTTAAATACTATTAAATTTAGCTTCTGTCCATGTTTTACATACTGCTGTTTTGGAATATGCCTCTATAAGCATGTGACCCAAAGGCTTGCTGTAATCTTGTGTAAACAGCACATCATTTTATAATTTTAATAGCAGGGATTGATGTTTGCTATTTGTTTAATGGCCCCTACTTTGTGGATTTTGTTATTAGAGAATTATACTCTGGGTTATATGTTGATTTAACATTTTTAGCTGCTTATGTGTCTTTTTTAGTTTTGGGGACTGCCCAAATCTACTGAAAGTAGGTGGCCAGTAAAATTACATAAATGAATCAATAAAATTACAAGCCATATCACACCAAATTTCAATAATCTTTATTCTCACTACACTAGGATTTCAACCTCTATTATTTGTCTCCTATATTCTATACAATAAATCTCAAAGGCCATGAATGAAGCACATCCCGATTTTACCGCTACATTTATCTGCAAATGCATGGGCTCAATTGTTTTTACTTATTTGTCTTTAATGTGGCAAGACAAATAAATTAATACATACTTAGAAGCATCAAATAGTACAATCTACATGACCTATAGAGAGCCACTTTGGTGTGATGATTAAATCATTAGGCTAGAAACCAGGAGACAATGAGTTCTGCCTTAAGACTCAAAGGCAGCTGGGTGACTTGGACCAATCCCACTCTCTCAGTCCTAGGAAATAAGCAATACCAAACCACTTAAAAAAAAACCTTGCCAAGAAAACTGCAGGACTTGTCCAGGCAGTCCACCAGGAGCCAAAAACTGATTCAGAGGCACCAAAAAAGAAAAATACATATGCATAATGCATCAAAACCCAACTGGGGAAACTTATGAATTCAAAGCATCCCTGTTGCCCGTAATTTCAAGAAAAACTGTAACATTCACAGTTTATATAATAAAGTAAACAAACACTTTGCAACCCAATTCATCTTGCTGGACAGTACTGTATTTTGCTTCAGATGACTAACTACTTCATTACCTAATGTAATCTAAAGATAAAAATTATTAAATTTCTCTTTTAACTATTTGCTTTCTGTCTGGTCAGCTAGAGGCAAAAGGAAGCAACAGCAAGATAAATCACTCTTCCCTTATCCCCATAATCTGATACCTATAGAACGTAGCAGTTTGATTCAATTAATCCATCTTGCAGCTGGGTCTAAAAATGAACATCCTGGTTACAATATTTGGTGGACTGCAGAATTTGTTTCCATAATTCCTTCCCTCCTATATCTAGCTTTATGTATCATCCAGCTTGATGAAAAAATATGGAGTACCATAATCTATTTATTTTTAAAAAAAGTTCCACGGTACTCTTCAAAACAGAATTCTGCCAGAATAGCTTACAATATACTGAAATTGCAATCTCACTTTTTAAATTAGAATGACTAAAAAATACAAGCATAAAAAGGGCAGAAATTACTTTAAATTCTTTATACCAATTATTTAAAATGACATGGCATTATATTAAAAAGTGCATAAGGATAACAATATCTTGATTGATGCCAGAAAGATAATAAAATCAGGTCTGGCATGCCTCACTGGGAAAGCCAATACAAACCACCAAGGAGACTGCCACTAACAAGATTTACTTGGGTGCAGTCACTCATCACATGTTAGTGGGGGGAGGGGTGTTAAAACAAACATTTCAGCAGGAACATACTGGAGGAGGCTTTCTGTAACACAGGGCTTTTCAACCAGTAGTACAGGTACCATCCTAGAAAAGTGATAGCTGGGGAGGGGAATGAGCTGAACCAGTGGCAGCACCGCACAAGCCTGAGCTAGAGATGGCTGGAGCTGCAGGGCTGTCAGGGCTCAGCAGAAGTGCCAGGATCGGCACCAGGCTCCAGCTGGAGCTCAGTGCTGATCCTGGTGCTTCTGCTGAGCCCAGAAGAAGCGCTGATCAGCTAGAATGTTGCAGTATCTCCAGGGTCTTGTGATTTACATTCAGATGCTTGGCAACTGATTCATTTTTAAGATGGTCACAATGTCCCTGGGTCATATGAAGTGACCAAAACCTGCTGCAACCACCCAGCAGACGGGGGGAATAAAAACCAAACACCCCCCATCCCACCCCTGCTGCCAATTCTCAACAGAAATGCTCACAACAATGAAAACCTCAGACAGGAAGAAGAGCGCCGCCAGGCAGGCAGGCAGGCGTCTTGCTCGGCTGTGGTTTGGGGGCACTTTTTTCAGTGCCATTGTAAATTTGAATAGTCACTAAGCGAACTGTTGTAAGTCGAGGACTACCTGTACTTTATCACTTTTTTTTTGGTCATCACATTTTTGACACCTTGCTAGGCGACTGGTGGTACTCGGATGTTGCCATATCCTAAAAGTGGTACAGTGGGTGAAAAGGCTAAAAAGCCCTGCTATAACATACTCCTAAGCAATTACATTCCCCTCATACTGTAGGTTCAAAATCCAGCTCTTCGTTTTATAGTGTTTTTAATCTGTTCCAATACAACAGGAGCAAAGAATCTTTTTTAGGCCACAAGTTGCCTACTGATCACTTAAGAGATTCATTTGCATATGTACATACATCTTACTGACTCTTCCCATATTCCTGCTCCCACACACTTCATCTGTTCTATCAAAGTTGCTGACATAGTTGAAATGCTGCTACTGTACTTAATTCAGTTCTAGGAACTGAAACTCTATGACCACTCACAGACTCACCAATATTTGTCACTCAGCAAGGACTCCATAATCAACTACTGAGTGTTCTTTCAACAAATGTCTCTACCTGTTAGCAGATGTGTGATCACAGTGGCAATTCAGGCAGGGTAAAGAACAGCACTGAAATGGAGGTGGCAACAGTAGGACGTGGTTTGTCACTGATATTTTTCCAGCTTCCAGCCTAGCCTAAATCCTTGGATGGGCAACCCAGTATTAACCAGGTCCAACTGAAGCCTCCTAGGTATTTCCCGTCCTAAACTGTTTTTACAATTCCAAAACAAAAACGAATTGACAGAGCTATTTTTTAGAGAACCAGCTTTTACTGGGGCAAGGCAGTAATAATCTAGCAGTCTCTGTCTCTGTCTCTCTGAATTCACTGAGTTTCCTTCTGAATAATACATGCAGAGTAGCTTTAAATAGCAAAAGCTGTTGTTGCAGAGTACACAGGACAGTCCATTGCAAAATAAAGTATAGAAGGGAACAGATGGATTCCTGTATAGCCAGGCTTGTGTCTCTTAACATGTCAAATATGTTTAACATAACTCTAAATAGAAAATGTATATTACGCAACTGCATAATACAGAATATAACTGTTCAGCACATCAGCATTCATTACCTCAGTAGTGCAAATCAAGAAATGGGGAGAAAAGATAATTACTGGCGAAAATCAATCCAATATCTATTATTATAGCTATTAGCCAATGTGCTTGCTTGTTGTTTTTTTAAATCGTGATTTTGACTAATATTTGGTGCTGACAAACCCATTTGCAAGGGCACAGTAGGATTCTAGGCTTGAAATGAACTACTCTGGCTCTCTGCTGCTTGCAGATGTCCCTTCTCCCTCTCACAGATACAATATTTGAAACTTCAAGTACAGTAACGCAACGCCCAAAAGCAACGACCCGACTGAAAACCCTTCGGGGCTATTCGATCACACGGCAGGAGATTCGGTCACGGGTCACGTGTGCCTAGTTTGTGCCCAGTTCTGCCTTTAAGCTTCTTACGAACCTCCGTTCTCTTTCTGTCCATATAAATTATGAATGAATGCCAAGACGGCCAGATTCTCCCCCTCGGGCCTAGCCTAACCTACTTCCACAACTTTACCTGCGACAATCGCCGGATTGCTCTGCCCGCCCTCGGGTTTCACCCAAGCTTCGATGGTGAATTCGGCACGGGGCAGCTCTGCGCGGGCTCCCGGCCGCAACAGTAGTTGCGCGGCTCTGCCGGAGAAGTAAAGCGCAGCCACGGAATCCGGCGTCCAACTCGCAGCTGGGGCAGAAGGGCCGGCTTTTGCGCTTTGGCGTAGCGGGAAAATGTTGCTCTCTTCCCACGTGTCTTCCACGCTGCTCCCGTCGGAACTGGGAGCGCGGCGGAGCCTCGAGGGCGTTGTTCTGTGCCCCAACGCCGAGGCTGCCGCTCCCACGGTGGGACGCGGGTAGCTCGCATAAGGGTGCTGAGGGAGAGTCGCGGCTCTGGCTTTGCTAACCCAGCAGAGCTCCCCGTCCTGGGATACCGCAGAGCGGCTTTCGCTCTGCCTTCCCCTGGAGAGGTGGGGGCCTTTCAAGGCCAGCAGGCAGACGACCGCCGCCAGGAGCGACGAGGCAGGTGGACCAGCCATCCTCCGACGCGCAGCTTTCTTACGGCGCTTTCCTGCTTGAGGCCCTTTCCGAACCCGACTTGATCCCCTTCACGGGATAGTTTCTTTGCTCCGGAGCGCTCCTGGGCTTAGGTTGTGTTTTGCCTCTAATCTCTCTGCTTGGAGCGCCGAGGAAAGATTGGGAGCATCATTTCGGCCAGCAACGCCCTTCCCAGAAGGCTCCGTGAGGACGAGTGGCCGCCCGCGGCATCGTTAGAGCATCCTCAAAGCCTCTTTGTTCGCTCCCTCCCCGATCTTTCGCGCTTTCTCTCGCGCTCTCTTTCTTTCCCTCTTTCGGTCTCTCAGGTGCGAGTCTTCCTGCTCTTCTCCAAAAAGCTGAGGTCAGAGGCAGGTTAGTGCCAACGATCTGCCGGTTCCGTGCTGTGGGTATTCCCAATTTCTTTTCAGGTAATGTGCAGCTAGATGTCCAGCTAGATTACTGAATAAGAGAAACAAAGGTAGCCGGAAGATAGTTGGATTGCAGGAGCCTCCCTACCTCATTGAAAAGATGGATGATGATGATGATGATGCTATTGACCAGCCTCCTAAATTCTGTCTTGTTACTCCACCTCTCTGCCCCTTCTATCCTGGCTCCCACCTTCCAGTCTATGGCTCCTCCCCACTGCTTTGGGAGTTGCTTGCAATTTCTTTGACAGCTTGGTCCTCACTAAGGACTATATTGGTGGGGGAAGATGGAAGCCCAAGTCTCTTATCTGCAGTGATCAACAGGACTTATTTCCAGGAGGGAGTACCTAAAGGGGCCACCACCGAGTGAAATTGGAACTTATTTCTGATGGTTAGGCTCAATATTCTTATTTTTAAAATACACAACAAGTACACAACAGGCAGCCCTGCTTCCCACCTCATCTCAGTGACTCTAGCACTGCACACTTACTTATAGCCCAATGCACCTTTACTTCAGCACAAGGTTCCTTCAACTCAGTGGTACTCAATTTCCAGTAAAACATATGCTGGATACAACTGCACACAAAAAGATAGGTGTTTTAACTTACAGAGAATTATCTTCAGCCTCTAGATTTTGGAGTTATGTTGACTTAAGAATTGCTGGATATCTTTGTCCTCAATACATTTGCACAGAAGCAAATCTTGCAAAAAAAAAAAAAAACCCAAACAAACCAAAAACATGTTGATGGTACTTGATCTTCCAATAAAATCCTGCACTAAGTGCTTTGTCTTAGGGTAGCCTGGATCAATTCAAACAGTCCAAAGTAATGCTCTGGACATGCTGCTTGATCCCTGTGCTTGTTTACTCTGAAGTAAGTCCCATTGAGTTCAGTGGAATGTACTCATTTCAACACAATACTGAAGCTTTAACCAGAAGACACTTTTTAAGAAAAATGCACTTAGAACAAGGACATTTTAGGATTTGTTTTATGTAGGTTAATAGCTAAGATCCAATTAACAGTTTAATTCAAAACTATTAAATTCAACCAAAGCCTTGCAGTTGGCTCCAAAGAGATGCCAAAACTCTCTAAGCAGGCCAGGAAAGATCTCCAGTGCTTTGACTTACAGCTGATATGCTGAGGATCTTTTGGAATAAGAAAATTAATTAATACCAAACATTTGCTGGAGATGAGCAATAAGATTATTGCTTTCCAAAATATGGGGTGGAGTGATGAAACTTCCATCTCCTCTAGACTGGTGCAGATGCCAAACGGCCAAAGCAGCAGAAGAAAGCTGCCCAGTGAGGTCAGGTGGAGTTAGCACATTGAATCTGGTGGTGGCAGAGCGAATGACATGCACACAAAATGTGACTAGAAACGCACAGGCTGTTTTCGATGTGCAATACGCACAATTTATTAACACACCCACACAATTATGAAAATATCAAAAAGAATTTGAGTGGCATCATCCTTTGGCCAGCTTGTGTATCTATTTTCATCTCCCCTCTATCTGCTAACCCGGGAAAAGATAATCCATCTGGCCAAAAAATAAAGTCAGATGCAGATCTCCAAAACTGGGTATTCTTGCAGATTTTTTAACAGGCAAAATGGTAAAGCCTTCATCAAACTCCAGGATTGTGTGTTTGTGCATTGTTTGGAGGGATTTAAAATTTCTGGATTGCTAATTGGAATTAGCCACATCACATTTATTTTTAGAGCAGAAGTAACATTTTTCCTGTGTAGGTATAAGAGTTGCAGATGATCTGCAAATTAATGTTTATAGATGCACCTGTTTCTTCTTTATAGCAGATAATGTCCAAAATACTATTGACCTCATGAATTGTTATATTAAAGATTTTGGTGGTTCTTAAATAATTGCAAAACTCAGGAATTTCAACTTAAGATATTGTGGCTGGAATTTCACTGTAAGACTAAAAGAGCTACCACTGAAATGCAAAAATACCAGTAGCAAAGTGTATAAAGGGACTGGAATATCTGGGCCACAGAAGACAGGAATGAAAAGAAAAAGGACAAAGATCTATAAATAATAAAAGACTTCTACTCTCTCCCAGAAGTCTCTTATGTTCTCAGGACTTCAATATCAGCACAAGCTATGTTTTAAATAACAACACTAGTTCTTGTCATTTGTTCTCTCCATTTAAAAACAAAAAAAAACCAAATCAGGTTTTATAAATAAGAGCTCAACTCTTGTAGAATTCATTCATACTGATTTTTCAAATAGCAGCTTCACTTAGAACTCTCTCCGACCATCAGATGAAATCTGCTATGCCACATGCATGCTTTTTCCTCTGCACTGCTCATTTCACACAAACCAGACAGTTTTCCTGCCTTTTCCTCGTCTCCTTTCTCTCTTTGCTCAGGTGCCTAGGATTTTCTTCCTGCAACAACTGTGGTAACATCACATTCTTGGCTTTGTACCATCTCATATTCTCTGCCTTTAAATTCAGGAAGGAGTAAAGGAAAGTCTGGAACCCAGACGTGCTTTTGGTCAATTCCACTGTGTCAAATTTACAAAGCCAAAAAGGAAAATGTTCCCCTCTCTACCTTCCCACCCCCAGTCTAAGGTTTGGGGCAATCCTTCCCTCTTCCTTTTGAATTTAGTTTAAAGTAAAACTTCTGTTTGACATGTGAAAGAAAGTAACCTATACGTGTTAGAACCTTCTGCCAAAGCTGGCCAAAGCAATATGAAAAAAAAAAGAAAAGGTAGGGGGTCAAGAGTACTTAAAGCATACGCTGCCCCCTAGCCCTGCTATGCAGTACTTACCATGCGGCAGTCACTGCCCTCAGAGGGGAGACACACACACACACACACACTTTGTAAGTGTTTTAAATCCACCGGCACTGCCAGAGGAGGAGGAAAAACCACTTGTGCCAAAAATAACTCATTTAGGGAAGGGGTGGAGGAAAACTTCAGAAAATTGTCTATTTTTTTTTTAAAAAAAAGTTCATGTCCTGATTTTACACAAGTAGGGGTCTTTAAAGGCTAGCATGAACTGTTTTGAAATCTCATGGTTGAATTACCCCCCCCCCCTTGCTTTTCCTGTATTCAACTCTTTTTCTTCTCTCCAAAGCACTATCTGTGGCAATCAGGCAAAAGCAAGGTTGCCAGCAAAAAGCTGGGAGTGGGAGGCCCCTTCTAGGGTACAGGCTTTCAAATCTGGGGGAAAAAGGAAAAGGAAGAAAGAACGAATGAACGAAACAAAAACACTTGGATGGAATGGATTTAAGGAAGTTTGGCAAGACCTGTCTCTTTTTGTTCCTTGAAAAAAATTGGGAGCGACCTAAGACAGAAGAGGGGATGACAAAATTGGTTGGAAAACTTTAGTGGATGGAATTGAGAAGCAGGAGTGGAATCTCGTTTAGTGCAGGTATATACTTATAAAGAAAGTGGATTGGAAGGAATGGCTGCATAAACGGAGCAAGGGGGAAAATAACTGCTTTCTTCTCTGCTGTGGGGCAAACAAGGACAAAGAGAGCTTCAGAAAGGGAAGGATTTGAATCTGGGGCAGAGGAGGATCTGACTACCAGTTAAATGAGATGAAGGGTGAACACCCCAACAGATACACACCTATTCCAGAATGATGTTGCAAAGATAGGAATGTGATTTCCTCCCCGCTTAGAAACAGCTGTTCCTGTCCTCTTTCAAATCAAGAAATCTAAATCATACTTATGTATGCTTATTTAGAAATAATTTCTGCTAAAATAAAGACTTAGCTACAAAAAAATTGGCTGAATATATATATTTTTAAAAAAGATTATGTTAGGTGGAGTAGAGTTAAATAATCTAGTAGTTGATCAGCCATCCCTTAGAGTTGTGCTCACTTTTGTTGCAGGGTAGAATAGAATAGAATATTCTTTATTGTCACTTTGAATGTAGACTAATCGGCATACATTAAAATGAAATTTCGTTGCATACAGCTCTCAAAGGGTCACCAACTCCAATATACACTATATAAATATGACACAAAAATTGCATATATGCACATATTGACATACATTTACATATATAAAAATAACATTCCTATGTATTTTCTATTTCTACAGATAATGTTTTGAAGGCAGAAGTAATTTCTTAAGAAACATGGACTGCTTTCATGAGTGGCACTAAAATAAGCACATTTCCTGTTCTTATGAGGTGATTTCCACATGTGAGATTTAATTGGCATTTTTCTACTTATTGTCCACACAATATAAATTCAAAGCCTAAATTGGCAGGCATGTCTTTTTTACTTAATGGAAGACAGAGAAGTCAATAGAATTCAAATGCATGCTTTCAAATATTACATTGTCAAACTTATTTGTTTTATGTTCTGCAAAGCCTCCACAACATTCAAAAGTCAGCCATTGTGGGCTTAAAGGCATTCTTACTATGATTTTTAAAAGCTGCTCCCACTTTCCATTTTTTTTTCATAAGTAATAAAGGATTAGAAGGACTTGTTTCTAAGGGCTATTACTAAGGATTCCGTGTGTTGGGGAAGGGGGGGGGGCTGTCCATAAATAATTTAAAAATCACAGTACATAATGAAACATTTCAGTCTTTATCTTTTGGCCTCTTCCTCCAGAATTACTAGTTTATTAACTTACTTGACCACTGCCTTCCAGCCAAGTGCATTTATTTTATGACACAGAGTGAACCAGCAATAAAAAAGTATACTCATAACACTTCCAATCTTCTGTCGACTTTTCTTCCTACTCTGCCTGCAACAGGCTGGTGACAGGATACATTTTAATGGAATAATGCTGGCATATATTGTTAGAAAAAGTGTGTGTGGGGGGGGAAACAGCACTTAGCAGAAACTCAAAATCTGGCAGACACTGAACCACCACCTGAAATTCTCGGAAAGAAGCAGATGAACATGGAGTTTTAAAACATTTTTGTGAAGAATCTGCAATATCCAAATGCCAAAGGCTCTATCTTTAAAGAAACAGAGGGAATTAATATTTGTCATTTATGGGGCCTAAGTTAGCAGCATAATTAGAATTCATGCTTAAGGCTAAGAATATCTCAGTAGTGAGACACCAAATGAAATTTGGACAAAGATCTCAAAAACCTTTAAAATAAAATAATACTGTATTGGCAAATTAATCCATTATTGTATTTTTATTTACAAATCTTCAAAACAACGTACACAATCTACTTCAGGTCTAGGAGTTGTAAAGCTCATTGTTTTCTGCTATTTTCTACTCCAAAGGAGCAGTGTGTGTATTTTAAATTAATATTATTCAAGCTGTTTTAAAAAAATAGTAATCTTGTCAATCAACAGAGATGTTAAAAATAATTTGGAAATATCAAGAAAATGTTTTACTTACTGTAGCATTCAGAACGAATCTGGTAGCACCTTTCAAGACTAATGATTTATTGTAAGACATAAACTTTCATGAGCTGCAACACTTCATCAGATGAATGATTACTTTATTTGGT